CTTGTTACCTACGGGAGGAACCAACGCAGCGTTATGGCCCTGCAGCCACAGCAGCACTGCTGTGCTCACTGAAGGCTCTCCATATTTCACTGGAGAGTGAAATAGCACTGCCTAGATCAGTGCTATCAGAGCCATTCTGAGAACAAAGCTCTGTTAGAAGTCGCTAGTAGATGACAACTCTTACTCAGGTATTTTTCGAGCTACGACCTGGCATTTCTGCCTTATTTATTTAAGGATGTCAGAGGATGCAGACAAACTCACCAGCAGCTTCATTGTAGTACACGTTGATCCTCTCCAGCTGCAGGTCGCTGTCCCCATGGTAGCTGCCAGTGGGGTCGATCCCATGCTCATCGCTGATGACCTCCCAGAACTGGAAAAAAATTTCGTGAAAGGGCAGCTGTTAACTACAGCTGGCCGGTGCCAATCACACGCGCTAGCAGTCCGTGCGCACAGCTTCCCCGACCACTCCCTAGCACGGTTGAGCAGCTGCCTGGGAGGAAGCTGCACCTCCATGAGTCAGTGCAGAAGAGTTTCCCTTTGGCCGCGGCAGCTGAATTAACAGAAGCAGCGCTGAGTAGAGGAGGGCAACCGGGCAGCTGCAGCGCTGGAATTCGAGCTAATTCATTTTTAGCACACATCCAAGGGGTGACAATACTCGCATACCCACCGATCTGAGACTCTTCTATTGTCTAGCCGTGGCTTAAGACCGCCTAAACCAGCCATGCTGTTCTACTGACACGGCAGCGTCACCGCAAGCCGACAGCAGCCCCAGCACAGCCCTGGGGCTGGCCGTGCCGCCGCGCCCCTCTCCCTCAGGAGCCTCACGCGTGGCTGCGAGGCGGCTCTGCGCGACCGCGGACTCGAGCCCGGGCAGCCCCGCTCCGGTCGCGGATAACCTCGGCGGAGCTGCAAGCTTCACCCCGCTGCCGGTCGCACGACCCTCGGCAGGCAGCCGAGAGGCGGCTCGTACCTTGGCGCCGATCTGGTTGCCGCACTGCCCGGCCTGGATGTGCACGATCTCACGCATGATGCCGGTATCGCGCCGCACGCGCTCGGTCCCCTCCCGCACCGTTCGCTGCGGCGGCCGCGCCCCGCTCCGCGCCTTAAATCGGGCGCTGCGCACCGCCCCTCGGTGACGTCACGCGGTAGCGGCGAGCAGCCAATGGGCGCGCGGGAGCGGGGCGGGGCTGCGGCATTGTCTCCCGCCGCGGGTCCGGCACCCGAGGGCGGACGGCGGAGCCGCCCCTTGGCGCCCAGCAGCGTCCGCGGGACGGGGCTCGGCCGGGGACGGCTGGAATTCAGGAATTGCAAATGATTTACACCGAGCTGCTTCTGCACCTGCTGGGGCTCGTGCCTTTGCTTGTCCGCTGCACCAGCAGAGCGTGCACTGCTGCGTTTTAGCAGCGCCTTCCAGCCTGTACTTCTAGCTCGTGCCTGCTGAGCTACGTTTTGACACCTTTGAAGCACGAGAATCATCGTTCTGTGGTTCAGACTCTTAAAACGAGCAGAAGTTGGAGGACAGCCATGATAAAGCCAAGAGCAGCTTTCAAGCAGTATGGTGCTGTTTCAGCTCGAGCTGTCAGACCGTCCATGCAAGGCTTCCAGTTGAGGAATGCAGAGGGCCAGCATGAAACATTACCCTGCTGCTAAAGCTTTTCTGGGGACTGTCTGGCAACAACTGTAACTTGATGTACAATCAGTGAATATGCAGGTGTTATAATTAAGAAATATCCAGGAAAGTTAGGCTAAGTAAGATTATTGCAGCAGGAGGATAATAAATGGAAAATGCTTACCGATGTCGTAGGCTCACAATATTCTCCATGAGGAGCGATCTCCAGAAGAGATCCTTCCTCAGTGGCAGTCAGCATTTAAATGGGATCCAGGAGAGGTGAAGCCAGGCTCCATCCCTTCCTGTAGCGCAGGTGAATTACCTTCACCTGTGCTCCCATGGCTGACTCATTGTTTGCCTCAGGTGGTCAGTCAGAGGTTCAGGCCGTGATTCAGCAGTTCCCATACACTTAAACACCCATAGGAATGGGATATCTGTTTTTCTATAAGTGAACTTACATTCTACGTTAACAAAAACCCACTGTGCACCTCATTTGGGAAGATTTTTGACCTTGCTTCTAGCATCTCTGGTTGTTGACACATGGAAATAAACTAAACTGATCCAAGTCCATGGCAGATGGCTGTGATAGAAAGGACAGTTCAAGTGCAACAGAGAGAATGTGGTTTTTAAACCAAGATGTACATATGCCTGATCTGGCATAAGGTGTCCCTGGCCATGGCAGGGGAGTTGAACTAGATGGTATTTAAGGTCCCACCATTCTAAAATTCTATGATATATATCATAGAATCACAGAACGTCCAGGGTTGGAAGGGACCTCAAGGATCACGAATCTCCAACCCCCCCTGCTGCAGGCAGGGCCACCAACCTCCTCATTTAATACTAGACCAGGCTGCCCAGGGTCCCATCCAGCCTGGCCTTGAACATCTCCAGGGATGGACGGGGCATCCACAGCCTCTCTGGGCAGCTGTTCCAGCACCTCACCGCTCTCTCTGTAAAGAACTCTCCCCTGATATCCATCCTAAATCTTCCCTCCTTCAACTTAAAACCATTTCTCCTTGTCCTGCTGTTATCTACCCTTTCAAAGAGTTGAATCCCCTTCTCTTTATAGGTTCCCTTTGGGTACTGAAAGGCTGCAATGACTTCACCCCACAGCCCTCTCTGCTCTGGGCTGAACAAGCCCAGCTCCCTCAGCCTGTCAGAGGATAGGGCAAGCTTATCAAGGAAAGAGCAGTATGTGCCTTTTTATAATAGTGACTTTCCTTTAGTCATAGCAGTGCTACAAGAATCAGAGGAGAAGAAGGCAGCCCAAAAGGGATCGTGAGCATCCCAAGCAGCCCAGGTGATCTGTATTATGTAGTTAAGGGCTGACATTAGCTCTGCAGTGAGAGCTCCATGACATCTTGTCTGAGTGATATATCTGCATCTTCATTGCTGGACATAATAAATAAAATTGGATTGGGCAGAAACTTGATTGCAAATCATTAATCAATTTGCAGTTGTAAATAAAATGTTTTTTGTTTGACTTGCTGGCCTGGCAAGGACAGCTTTACAGCAGGACCAAGGAAGGGAAATGGCAGCTTCCAACAAGGTTGGCGAAGAGGGAGCAGCATGGTGTACCTCATATTCAACACTACAGGGCTGAAGGGAGTCAGTCTCAAGCATGTGCACACAAATATAGAAAGACCAATGCCATGAGGACAGCATGGCAAACTCTCCCATGTTTGCTGGTGAATCAGCACAGCAGGAGGAATTAGCACAATGAGTGAGAGATCTGCACTTGCAGAACTATGGGGTTGTGGGGATCACAGAGACATGGTGGAATGCTGGAATGTTGCAATGGATGAATGAAAGCCCTTTAGAATGGACAGGGTAGGAAGGTGCAGAGGAGTTACCCTTTGTGTGAAGGAGCAGCAGAAACACGCAAAGCTCTGCCTGGAGATAAATGACGATTTAAGGGGTCAAGATTAGAGGGCAAACTAATGTATGCTGTGTTGTGGTGGTTGTTTGCTATATGCTTCCTGAGCAGGAAGATATAGATGAGACCATCAAAGAACTGGAAAAAGCCTGACATCTACAGACCCTTATTCTCAAAGGGAACTTGAATCTTCTGAGTATCTCTTGCAGGATCTACAAAGCAGGATACAAGAACTCCTGGAAGTTTTGGAGGCAAATCAGTGATAACTTACTGTCATGAAGTCCAAAGGGGAGAGAGATCCTGCTGGACTTTCTTTCAAACAAGGAAGAACTGGTGAGGACTGGGAAGGATGGAGTCATCTTTGGCAGCAGTGGCCATAAGATTGCGTCAAGATCCTGAGAAAAAGTGAACAAGGTGAATAGCAGGATCACAACAAAGGGTTTCAGGGGAACTGACTTTGGCTTCTTTGGCTTATCTGTTTGGAAAAATCCCATGGGAGACTGTCTTGTAGAGAAGAGATCAGCAACACCTTAAGAATGGTGCTTTCTGACAAGTGGGACATCAAGCAAAGGCAGCAAGAGGCCTGGGCAGACAACAGGGAGCTGCTTGTTAAACACAGACATAAGAAAGAAACACAGGAGGTGAAAGTCGTGTGACCTAAGAGGAATATAGAGACACTGTCCTGGTGTACAGTGATAGGCTTAGGAACATCAAAGTTCACCCAGAGCTGAATCAAGCAAGGGATGTGAAGGACAGCAAAAACTACTGATCTATCTGCAGCAAATGTAAATTTTTGACCCGCTACTGAACACAGAGCTGATGACAAAGGACATGAAAAACACTGAGGTATTCAGCGTTGTCTTCTCCATGTTTTTATACTATTAAGGGATCTCAAGCTTCTGAGACCTGTCAGAAAATCTGGAGAGGTGGATCTTCTTGAGGAAGATTTAGATGAATTGAACATGCAAAAAGTGTGTAGACATTGGTGAGATGCACTCAAGTGCCGAGGGAGCTGTATAATGTCATTGTGAGGACATTTGACAATCTTTGAAATATCACAGCAACCGGAAAACATTCCTGAGGACTGAAAAAGGTAAATGTCACTGCTAACTTCAAGAGGAATAAGAAGGAGGATCAAAGAACAGGTCAGTCAGCCTTACCTCAATTCCTAGAAAGATGGGAGAATGAATTCTTCAGGAAACAACTTCTGAAAAATTAGGGTCAAAAAGTTGGTTGGCATTAGCCAGCATGGATTTACAAAGAGGCAGTTATGCCTGACTTAACTGACAGTCTTCAAGCACCAGTGCATGGTGGAGGCCATTCAGAAGGAAAACAGCTTTGCAGGAAGGGGCCTGGGGGTCTTGGGCACTGAGCTGAACGTAAGCCAACAGTATGACCTTGCTACAAAGTCACACAGCAATCTGAGCTGTGTTAGGAAGAGTTACCAGCAGTTCAAGGAAGGGACTCTCTGCCCTCTATTCAGCCGATGGTGAGAGACACCTAGAATTTTGCATTTAAATTCTTTACTTGGCTCCCCATTGCAAGAGAGAGATGAAGACATCATCCAGTGAAGAGCCGTAAAGGTTGAGAGACTAGAGACTCTTGTCATGCAAGAAGAAACTGGGAGCTAGGACTGTCCTGGGGAATGATTGGGGTACCTTAGCAAGAATCTCATAAATACTTGAAGGGAAACTGCTGAGAAGATAAAGCCTGGCTCTTCTCAGTAGTGCCCAATGACAGGAGGAGAGGCAATGTGCACAAACTGGAATATCAGAAACTAAACGTAAACATAGGAAAAACGTTTGATGTCAGACACTGGTACTTGTTGAATGGTATCTTAGAAGATATCCAGAACTTTGGACACTGATCAGCCCTGATCAGTCTACTGTGGCTGACCCTGCTGGGTATAGGATTGGACTAGATTATCTCAAGGGATACCTCCCCACTTCAACAATTCATTGATGCTGCGAAAGGGAGAGGAGTAGACCAACATATGTGACAAGTAACATCAGATTGATGGTTTATTGGTCCTATCACCACTCTGTACTATAACGTTAAATTAAAATTATGAAAAAACGAACAGAATTTTACAGATGTGAGCCAATAGCTGATCTAGTAAGTTACTAACACTTTCTTTGTTTTGCATGTGGCTGCTGTGCCTTTGGAAAATAAGGTGGAGATTTTTCAAATTCAGTCCTCAGTTTTCTTCAGTGTATTGATGTGCAGACAAACTATGTCTCATTTCCTTCCATAGGGCAGAAACCTCAGCTGCAGTGAAATATCTTGAAGACGGACTGGCTCAAGCTTGGTAGTACATGGAATTACATGCTATTGCTTTTGCAACCTCAAAATATCCAAGATTATACTAGCAGTTTTTTTTTTTTTAAATTGGCTTCTACATTCATTGTATTCTGCTATTGTATTTTCCAGACATTTTTGCAGTACTTAATCACAGGCAATCTTTGTTACTGCTAGTACAACTTGTGCGTATACATTTCTACATGCTGTGGGTGTAGCCTGCATTTTTTTAGGCAGCCCTGGGCTGCTACGTCTTCTCACTATTTGCAGAGCTGCAAAACAGCTGTCCCTCTTGGCATCTCTATGGGATATACACAAGCATTTAAGAGCTTTTTGGCTGCCAAGTTATTCTTGGAAATCTACAAAGCAACAGCTTGAAGCGTTCTTACTCCCCATCTGAAGGTACCTGGACAATCCCTAACATGTCTTCCTCCCACATACATACAGTGGCTTCCTAAGAGCTTTATTATTATACTCTTAAGGATTTTGAACTTTTAATTCACAGAAGCTATAACACCCATTTCTTTGTAGATCCTCACAGGTTTCTAGGGGTGTAACTCCAGATTAAAAAAAAAAATACCCATCTACAGCGAGGCTCATGTTTGTGTCTGAAAAGTTCCCTCATCTACAGTAATACTGAGCACTCACAAACACCCAGCAAAGAAAATTAAACATTAATTGCTTAAATGTCAATCCAGAATCCTACATTTTGGCAAATTAACACTATAAAAAACCCTTAGCCATTAATGGCATTTAAATGAACAGAATGGTTCACTATAGCGTTTTTAACAGGTTTTGGTTTCACAAATTTGAGGTACTTAATATCATGAACAAAAAATCCCAATACCTCATTCATAGATCTGCAGTGCCTGTGCGTGGGAACGCCCGTGTGCCCCTCTGCAGCCAAACCACTGCTTGCAGCTCAGCAGCCAGCTGAACAAAACTCTACCTTCCCCTGTTTCCAAGGCAACCGCAGAGCCTTGGAAATGAGCTGCACAAGGGAGGCAATGGAAATCTTAGCACGTTTTAACGTATCTGCAATTTCCTATTGTAGGATGGGGAATTGCAAACATACAAATACGGGAGCTGCTGAAGCATACACAATAATAGATTGAGCATCTGCCTATGGCTTTATTCTCATTTACAATGAGTGATAGCACATATTGCTTAGATGTGCATATCAGAAACGAAATGATTTTTTTGAGTCTTCCTATTGAAATCAATGGATGTTGCTCTGTCCATTAGCTTTTTGTCTAAATTCTACCAGACAATAACAGCATCACCACCTGATGCAATCTCTGAGATCACCTATGGTACTTAATCACTAGTGATGTGTGTTAAGAATATTTCCCCTAGCAAGAGGGTGGAATATTTGTGGAGGAATTTTTAATTCTAGTAATAAAATGATAACAAAAATCTATTTTTATCTCAGAATTACAACCCACTGCAGGCACTAAAAGCAGTTACATAGTAGTGCTGAGCACAGTTTTATGAATGAGCAAAAGCAATTTCACTGTAGAGCCTTCTGTACTTGTGCTTTTTTCTTGGACTTAAATTTTTTGCATTCAGCCAAGAACAAAAGAAGAGAGAGGAGGAGCATGTAAGACAACATCACAGAACAATATAGGGCACTGTCAGTTCTGAAATAACAGTTCTCTTCTTTAAATAAGCACAGTTTTCCCCATGAGCCTAATGTTACTTCCATACTGTGGCTTCTCTTGGGAACTTAGCCTGTAACCTCTGAGTCAGGAATTTGTTTACATAGTCCTAAAGGACACGACAGTCTCTGCTCATCCGGCTTCCAAAAGTTACCATAACAAATACAATCATTATGATATCACTAAATGACTGCAGAAAGGGGAAAATATGTTTATCATCACCAGGCACAGATTTACTGAGAAGGAAAGAGGCAAAACAATGCAGCCTCTCATTACTTCCGCTTGGCACACCAGATGTGATGGGGTAGCTGCCAGATGGCTCCTGCCCCCAGCCAGCCTGCACCTACCTTTTAAGATCACTCAGAAGATGAAATCTGTTTGCTATCTCCATCAACTAAGGTCTTCAAGTCAATATACAACCGATTCCAGCATCGATATAAACGAAACGCTGCTATCATGTTTTCCAGGGCAGCCTATTTCCTACTTGTCAGTGGGAACAAGGAACAGACAGAGGCTTTGATCAGCTAGTCACAGTTTCTTTTGTTCCTCAGCCTCCTTGCTCTATCTTGCAATCTGATCATTACTTGTAATTCAAACCGACACCTAGCTAACTCCACGCTTTATCCTGGGAAATTTCTAATAGATGCCATAAAGGTGGGATTTGATATATATTGCTTAAAGTCACCCAGGTTCTTTGCAGGTGAGAACAGGGTGGTGTTGCTCCAACTAACTAGTTCCAGCCAACTAAGCACTTGCTCTGCTCTCCCCTGCAGACACTGTTTTTTGCCTTCTCTGTACCAGTTCTCACTTTGACACATTCCTTAATCCAATAAAAGGCTTCTTCCTTCTCATTTACCATATCTAGGTGGTTTAGGAAACTGATTCAGAGAGGGGTCAGACATGCTTCAGAGGGAATTAAAACCTCTAAAGCAAGGCAGTGGGGTAGGACTATCCTTTTCAGCAGCTGAAGGATAATGAATGAGCCCCACCCATGGAGCTACCCACTTCTGTGAGCAGCAGCTCTCTTAAAGTCCTGGAAACCTTCAATCCAAACTCACTCTATGGCTTTCTCCCTGTCTTCTAGTGTGGAGCTGGAGTTTTCAAATACCAGTCATTCTACTAATTTATTAACAATAAAATCAGGATTATGCTGGATGCACAGTGGCAGACTAAGTCATGCTTGAATTTCATTTAATGCATGTAAAGCTTTTTTTTTTTTTTGAGGCCATTTGAATTCTGCATGAAAACCCTGTTTAATTATTCACTGTGGAGGCAGGCAGTGTATTTGTCACATCCATAGAAATATGCTGAAACATTTTTCACTGCAAAACAACACAGAGCTGTTTACTGAACAAACTACACAGCCTCTGCCAGGGTAGCCATTCCATCTCCTTGAGCAAGTGCTTTCACATTCTTCTTAAACTAAGTTGCTAGCATTTTTTTGCAATGATAAATACACCCTTGACAAGAAAAAAAATGCCTTGAAATTATCAGATGAGAAGCCAAGTGAGATAAATAATGATTATAAAAGATGATAGATCAGTCACTGGGACCAATTTGAAGATCTGTATCTCAGAAGAATCAAACATTAATAAATGGGAATTTAACAAAGCCAACTTGATGTTTTCTCAAGAGAAACTACAGCAGAGAAACAGATCAGTTGTTATTAAACTGCTCAGGGAGGAAGACAAGTTTATCACCTGCACTATTTTTTTTTTGCTGGTAAGAACTGAGGGATTGGACTCCTCTCAATACCTGGCCTTCAACATGCATTAAAACAAATGTCCAAAGGGCTCTGGAAAGGTAAGTGTCCCATAGAGTAAAGTCTAAGAAATGTCTCTTTTCCAAAATATTCCACAGCCTCAAGCACTTTGCTGTATGTCCAAATGCTTCCATTTTGATTTCTGATGTAGGCAAGCTAAGGATAACAGCCATCTAAAATGGAAGCATTGATACGTGGTAGCATGCACTTCCCCATTTTAACAAATAAAGAACAGAATGTGTTATTGGTGGAATATCAGAAGGCAGATGCTTAGCATGGCAATTTGAGATTGGTAGGAAAAAAATTCAAGACCTTTTGATCCAGTCACATGCAGAACTGCTACAAATACTACAAAGGTTGTTTTTTTTTTTTTTTTTTTTTTTTTGCACAGTGAAAGTTGGGACAAAATCTCACCTAAGTTGTCTTAAGCCCCTAACACAGTCATGAGATTTGCTTAATGAAGACAACAAATGTGAAAAAAATGCACAGGAATATTGAGGAGTGAGAGAACAGTGCCTCCCATGAGCCAAGTGTTACTCGTAGCTCCTAGGCAGGCTGCAATGTCTGATTAGTCACTGGAAGTACACAGTAGTTACACTTTGATGTGCAATGGAAAAGTAACATCCCCTGGCAGAAAGGGAGTGACTACTCCTTGTACTTGGTAACATGATCTCTCTAGGGAGGATTTCCATTCCCTCAGCCCTTTAGCAAATAAGGTTTTCAGGCCCTATTACATAGAAAAATAATCCAGTAACTGAGACACACCTCCCTGTGAAGCAGAGCTAATAGAACCTTAAAAAAGATAGTAAGGTAATTTTGTAAAAAGACCTCAATGCAATAACTATGAAACTAATCACACTTTAAGCTAGTATCAATGTTCATCCTGATACAAACTTGTTATTCAGTTTACAGAGCAGCAAAAGCAGCAAGTCAGAGAAGAACTCTTCCCTTCTGCATAGAATAGTATATTAAGTGTTCTGGCCGTTTTTTTGAGTTAAGAAAACCTGTTTCTCTAGGCACCACCACTACATTTTGCAGCAGTGCACTGCAACATCCATGTCACATAAGAGACAGTCTGCTTGTGGTTTGTCCGGGCATGGGGCACTTGCACAGATGCCTTGAATGATCTACCAGCACCATACTACTGTAGCATGGAACATGTGAGACTATCATCCAGAAGCAAGCTATTTCTTTAAAAAGAATTTTTTTTTTTTTTTTGCCTCCACTTGTGCAGAGAATTAGCTGGAGGGAAGATTCTAGATTCCCTTATTTCTTCAGGTTGTAAATCAAGACTACAAACTTCTTTATCTCATACTTTCTGCAAAGAAGCTTTTGTCAACAGGACAGGCCCCATGGATTTCATTCTTAGATTATCCTGGGACTATCCTGTATTAAATGCAATCCTATTCTGATGTAGAAGGCCATCTCATATGTTGAGTGAAAGAAAATTACTCCAAACTGACAGATTGAAAAACATCTATTGGAAAGCAGATGTAGAGTGACATTCTCAGCAGATACTTGAATGTTTCAAGCTTTTGGATACTAGATCATGCAAAATTTGTGACAGAGGGTATCACAGTTTCAGAACCAGCCCATATACTGGACTATCCTTCCACAACACTGTACAATATCTTTAGACTGGGGTCCTAGAACAGTGAAAGAAAGAGTTGGCATCTTAGGTTACTAAACCCTAAGCCTCATCCCATTTTAATTTAAAGTGTTTACAGCCTTATTTAGCTTTATCATCTACACTTCCACCTGCAGACAGTTGTTCTCTTGTAGCTTGCATTAGCCAAGATGTTCTGCTAACACCTGAAAATGCCAGACATCAAACAAAACAGACGAAAGAGACAGCTTTCTTCCCTGACACCATCAACTCTAACTGTTAACAGGATTTCCAGGTCACCATTACTACATTTAAATGAAAGAAACCATTTGTTGATAAAACCTCTCAGCACAAGTGACTCATCTGGTTTAAACTGTACCCCACTGAGCCTGTAGTATCTACCATCATTTCTTCTAGAAATGATGCTTCATGCAAGACCTTAAATCTTGGAGCTGTTTATCACACACACACAAAAAAAATCACCAGCTGATGTAGGTTAAGGCAATCAGATTATCTAATCTGAAATAGTTTCAGTGGTTCTGCTCTTCATGAAAGAAGTAGAGCTGTGAACACATGAAGAGACATTCATCTGTTGCTTGGCATACAGCAGTCGTCAGTTTTTATAATGAATGGTCCCCTAAGCGATAGATGCAGATAATGCTCAAAGGTAAAGCAGAAGAAAATTGTACTGCAGCTTCCAGTCACAATTCAAGACTAATCTTCCATTATAATTGGTTTACTAATTCTATCAAATAGTTTTAAGCCTCCCTTTTATCCCAGTATCCACTTTTCCTGCATTATCCTTAACTCCTACTAAAGTTACGTGGGAGGTGGGTTTTTTTTTGGTATTATGGCTGGCAAATAAGCTGTGTAGGATGGACATGTTCCTCCACTTCCTAGAGGAAGAGAAACCGTAAGTAGAGCTACAGAAACAACAATGTTGTTTCAAAGCACGCAATGTAGGAAGGTGTTCCACCTTCTAATACAGGAGCTGTAGTGCAGTGGTTCCCTTGGGTAGCGATATTGAAGTGTTAGCTGAAGATATAGCCATTACACTAAGAAAAAGGATCTGAACTTGTTGAAAAATAGTGAAACTCTAAAGGTCCCACTGTAGAAAGAAGGATCTTTACTATCACTGTCAAAGACCAGATTCTCATGTTTTTGAGAAACTGAAGTTCCTCTCCAGCTTCCCTTCTCACCTTTAGGAAGAAAGCTGCTTATGACAAACAGATTCAAGCACAATCCAGTTGGGTAATTTCAAGGGAAGGTTACTGTGACAACCAGACAGGTTGTTATTTCTCAAAGGGCCCAGGGGCAGCACACAGTAACTCAGTTACTAAAACAACCTCAATTTGTTTAATACTTAATCCCAGAACTGCTCAAGTTCTAAGAAACACAAGTGCTATCGTGAGTGCTGTATTTGTTTACAGACTGTTCAGGCATTTTAAGTGCTTCTCACCTCTCTTTTCAGAGGTTTCACCTGAAATGAAGGATAGAGATGAGGAAAGAAACAGCATGAAAAGCTTGTTGTTCTGCACACAATCTCAGATCTTACTAGAAGATAACAAGCCCATCAGCAACAGTATGCTCAAGCAGTAGAATCCATTAACAGAGACAAAACAGGCAAGATAATTAGTGCACAGTAGCTCCCTTTTAAGTCTTGATTCCAGTAATGCCTTCCCAGAATTCCATTAAAGAAACACACAAGAGGTTGCAATTATGTGGATAGCTGTTCCTTCAGAGCAGTAAGGACCACAGTGTTTGTAGCATTACTAGTAGCTCTCAAAGTGTTGTTTGATTTTTTTAAGCATAAGAGCCCTTCCCTAAGCAGTGTTGGGGGAACTAAGAACTGTAAGCTCACATATGGGGTAACAACTATTCTAAGGGTAGGATTTTATTCTCATCCTGTAGAAGAGTCTCAGACATTATAATAACTGATGACTATGCTGTAGGCTCACTACATCTCAAATTCACTTAGGCTTCTTGTGACCTTTAAGTACGCAGTAACACAAATCCCACCACCCTCACCATAAAGAAGCTGAACTTACCTTAGCAAAGATGCACACAAGGATCCTGCTGCACTGCTCAGCTGCCTGGCTGGAGGTCCACTTCTTGTTGCAATTACTGAGAGCATCAAACAGCAGCAGTGTAAATACGTAATTGGGGTGTGAGAGACAGCTACTGTCAGGAAATGCACATGACTACTCCAGGACCTTGTTTATGCTCTGGGCAGCTTTGAGTCATGTTACTTTGAGATCTGCCTGTCATCTCCCCCCAGATCCCAAAGGGAATTGACTGCCCTGAGGGGTCATTCCCTCTTACAGAGAAGGCCCCCTTAGTGGCTGTTTGTTTTTTGGTAAACATTCGCCTTGGAGAGTGTCTCCACACCTCAGAACAGAATTCAAGTTAACATCTCAGCTACCATTGTGCTCAGAAAACAGATCCTTCATACACTGCACATACAGTCTTTCTACTTAGAGAGGAAGGATCACAGATAAGCAAAGGAGCAGGTAAATCCACAGCCAGCCACCCATATTCACAGCATATATGCCCTGAAACAAGCTCAATCAGAACTGCTTATATAGCAGTTGAAAAGCCTGCAGCTATCTTGTCAGATCAGTTTTGACAGTTTGTAACGTGGCATTCAATACCTTCTGGCTGACCTCACTACCATGTATGTCCATAAATAGAAGTTGCAATATCCTCAAGTGGAGCATCTTGTTTCTATTAGTTAAGGCAGCTTCCTCTGTAACAATAGAGTAACTGTTAAACATGAGTGCCTAATATTGAACTCACAGTGCCTGTGGATTAGCTACCCTCTTACAGTGCCCATACATTAACTACTCACTTAAGCAGAGTAAGTGCAGTTTATGTATTCTGCAAAATTAATGGCCTGAAAAATCTTGCTTTATTGACTTAAACCTTTCACTGAGGGTAAAGGCTTAGAATGAGAAGTGAAAGAGACAGAAAACTAGAAGAGTTATTTTCTAGAACTAGAGAGAAATAAGGCAGAGGACACAGTTTAGAACACAAAAAGCCTTTATGTTTGAGAAGTTAACCATTTCAACAGAAGACTCTGAAGTATTTTTGCAACTACTGTTACATTGGACAGTCGAGGATACAAAACTGCTGACAAAAGCAACAGTGGAGAGCACCAAATTAAGAAACGCATGCTTCAGCACAACTGCACAGATTTCTCCTCTCAATGAACACTTGCCTGCTCAGACTACACTTGACTTCTACCCATTTCCACTTCATGCCTCATCCTCCTCTCCTTCCTCTTCAAATTCACCCTGCTCATCAGCAGTGGCATCCTGGTACTGCTGGTACTCTGAGACCAGGTCATTCATGTTGCTCTCCGCCTCCGTGAACTCCATCTCATCCATGCCCTCGCCCGTGTACCAGTGCAAGAAGGCCTTGCGCCGGAACATGGCCGTGAACTGCTCCGAGATCCTCTTGAAGAGCTCCTGGATGGCCGTGCTGTTCCCTATGAAGGTGGCGGACATCTTGAGCCCACGCGGGGGGATGTCGCAGACGGCCGTCTTCACGTTGTTGGGGATCCACTCCACAAAGTAGCTGCTGTTCTTGTTCTGCACGTTGAGCATCTGCTCGTCCACCTCCTTCATGGACATGCGGCCTCGGAAGATGGCGGCCACCGTCAGGTAGCGGCCGTGGCGGGGGTCGCAGGCGGCCATCATGTTCTTGGAGTCGAACATCTGCTGCGTCAGCTCGGGCACCGTCAGGGCTCGGTACTGCTGGCTG